GATACTTATTTGATATCTGTAGATAGATTTACATTAAAAGAAGACAAGAAAATAGAATAAGATTGCTTTGCTCTAAAGTACCATTCAATAACAGAATTTTTGCCAAAGAAACCCTGTAAAACGCGTTATGAACGAGAACAAAGGCGCGGTGTAATAATAGGCTGCTGCTACAAACGTTACAGATTTGTATGCAAACGTCAACTGAATATTTATGAGCTAATCTTCAAACAAAGTCTTTTTTCTTTTTTAGATAAAAGCATAAAATTTGGAAGATATGTCACGCTTCTGTACCTTTTTGTCAAAATTGGATTTGTAATCAACGTAATTTTACAATTTGTTTTACTTGACCGTTTTCTCGGTCCACAGTACACCTTATGGGGTATTGGTATTGTCAATGACTTGGTGCATGGTCGGCATTGGAAAGAAAGTGGTCACTTTCCACGCGTAAGTTTAAATTGCTGCCACAAATTTTAGGCATTTCAACATTTATTGTATAGCTCAGATATCTTATAAGTCATTTAAAAAGCAAACCAACAAAAAAAAAAAAAAAAAAAAAAGATAAACTGTTTCTACAGGTTACGCTATGCGACGTTAAAGTAAGGGAGATGGGTAATATTCATAACTGGACTGTACAGTGTGTTTTGATGGTCAACATGTTTGCGGAAAAAATCTTCGTATTTTTATGGTTTTGGTTTTTATTTATTGGCATCATAACAATACTAAACTTTATTTATTGGCTCTACGTCACACTCTTGCCAAGTCAAGGAATATCGTTCGTGCGAAAGTATCTTGTAAGTCAAGTATACTTTAATACAGTTTAACAGATGCTACTATCTATAACGTAGATGTGCAGAAGAACTCAAAAGAACTAAATAGGGTGATGTTTCAGGAATTCAATAATGTAAAAGTTCAAAATGACAATCAAATAAGCAATTTTATTGACGATTCTTTGAGAACTGACGGCTTAACAATTTTACGACTAATCAGCGACAATAGCGGGGATTTGGCAGTAGCAGACATCATCAGCAGGTTATGGGAAAATGCTCACCCAAAACAACCGTCACAAAATCCTTCTCTTGGTACCAGCTTTATGTTTAATCTTTTGTAATAGCAGTATTTGCGGTAATACTTTCAGTAAGTTTGAAAAATGCATAATTAATTTCTTAAATGTATAGCAAACTTCCGGTTAAAAATTTAAATCTTAAAAGGCTAAATTATCGTAATTATTGCAGCAAGTAGCGAGTCAGAAACTGGGTACATAGAAGATGCTCCACTGTTATCTGACGATAAGAAACGATAAATAAACGTTTATTATTTTAGCTAATTGCATGTAATTTTTCAGATAAGTTTGTACAGATTGAACAACAGCAATAAATAAACTTTGCTAACACTTTTCATAACTCTAACACCGTAATGTAATACCACTAGCCAATAAACTAACAGACTAATGCTGTTAAAGTAGAACATGGTGCTTTAGCTTTGGCTGCCAAAAGCTTTAATAAAAGCTTATAGTTAGAGAATAGATGTTATCAACGTCTCTTGTTCTAACACTTCCAAGACTTTTTTGCATAGTGAGCTATATAGAACATTTGATTGAAGAACTAACAGATTAAACAATGCTTTCTTGCTTTCACCTTATGTTCTCTGATTTTAGACCTCTTAGTTAATCTTTTTAATTGCAGTTTAGAATGTTCTTTATCGTTAATTTAAGAAGTAGAAAAATTATCATGATCTGTGATTATTTTTACTCCATGTGGCACATGTGGCTGTTTTACAAGTTTTGCATGTTTGAGTTTGCATGACTACCATTCAACGATACAACAAGTCAATTTCTGAAAATAATAAATAAAAAGCTTTTTTAGTAGTTGTTTATATGAAAATACATATATACACTGCTAATAATGCTTAACAGAAGGGAATCAACTGTGCAATCGACGACCGAAACAGTGCTCGTCGGGATTTTACCAATCATCTTTTTTCTTCACTTATCAAAAAGGTTGCTATAAAGATATTTTGTAGTGAAAAAGATCTTTATACTTGCCAACCTTGTTCAGCCTCTCTTGCAAACTGTTTCAACCAAAAAAGACGACAGTTTATTTATTTTAGTTATTTAATAGCTATACTCAACTAATTTTAAGACCTATAACACTGGTTTCAAAGCGTATGTTTACTAATAAACGGTTTTGCAAAACTCGGATTCAACTTTAACAACATCTTTGTTGCATTCTAACTTTTAGCTTATCACAACTTTCATAAAAATCTATCGCATTTTACTACAAAGTTTTCAGTTTTGTTGCAGTGTTTCAGAAAATCTTAAGTGCGCTTTTGTGTTTACTTCAAAAGTTATTTTTGAAACTAGTTCTTTTTTTAGGCTGAAAAGTTCAGATTCATGAGCATTTTTAAACGTAAAGTTTCTGTGACTGCTTGTTTTTTTCAATATAAAACATATAGCGAAATGCAATAGCAGATGTTAATAACTCATTTTGTAGACAAACAACACTTATTTTACTTACTATAATATTACAGTAAGATTGAAAGCTTATCAATTTCATAAAGCTACTAATTTTGACTTTTGCCAATTTTTTACTATTAGTATAGCAGTCAGTTTTTGAAGAATAGCCAGAAATATATTTTTCACCTAAAAGCAATATATACATTGATCGACACACTTCTATTTCAAAAAAATGACAAATGTTTACATAAGAAGAGCCGTTTATCGCAGAAGTAAGAAAGATAATTGTTACTATTGTAATTACGAACAAAATGACGCTACTTCACTATCCTACTCGAAAATTTAAAGCTAATTGATGAAAGAAGTAAACGTCAAAATCTGTTATATATTTTTGTCTAAACACCATCTTTTCTTCCGCTCTTCACAATTCTTATTTGTACTTGATACAAATAAACAGTTTTTACGTTTTATGTTGCTTTCCAATAATCATATGTTTTAATTATCGGTTTCTGTAGATAACTAAACATTTTTTGTCATTCTTCTTCTTCTTGAATTGAAACCTCAAATTCATTTATAAAAATTCATTTGTTATACACTTTATTAACCACGCAGTAACAGCGTAGACATTAAAAATGTTGATCTTAAAAACGATAAGAGCGATAACGATAATAACAGCAGTAATAATAATAATAGTAATAATTGTACTAAAAGTAGTAATATAGTAATAATGGCAGTAATAGTAGTAAGAACAAATAGTGATTGTATTTTTTGTATTTTAATAGTACATACCTTATTTACAACAAGAGAGACGTGCTATTTTAGCTGAAAAACGTTCTCAAATCATGTTTTTTAGACGGCGCTCAGGTTCTAATTTTATTCAAAGAGTTATCAAATACCAAATCAGCAATCTGACGTTATGCTGAAGATGGAAAAATTGACCAGTTTGGGGCTAATGTTTAGTTATAATTTTATCGTTTCAAATTTATTGTTACTGTTGTTGTTATTAATTAATGCTTTTCGACGCATTTCTTGCTTTTCTGTTTCAACCACAAACATTTTTTAGTAACAGTATTGCAGGTATTAAGTGAAAATTAATCTGTAAGATCACCGACATATTATGATTGCTGACATAGGTAAATATTTTTTCAGCTAAATTTGCTCTTTGTTTATTTTTTATTGTACTTGCAACATAATCGCTTAGTTTTTGACACTGTTACAGGCAAATTTCTGAACAAGTTAAATCCAAAGTACGACGATGATGCGATAGATCGGTGTAACTATTTAATTACAAATACTATTCTAATATTTTGTGCCTTAACTGTTGCAGCAAAACAATATGTCGGTGAACCACTGCAGTGTTGGGTACCAGCTGAATTTAAGGTTCAGGAGAACGTCGCACGTCTATTTTATTTCATCTGCTTTCAATGTTAACCATCACATATTTTTGAAAAAAAAAAGCAGAAATAAATTATTTCTTTTATCTCAGACTTAAAAGACTTAATTTATCATAGAAACAAAAAAATTAGTATTATTTTTTGAGAATTAATTGAACTCATCAAGTTTTATGGTATTGTAGGCTGGATGGGAAAAGTATATTGAAAATTACTGTTTTGTTGAAAACACCTATTTTGTAAGAATGGATGACGATTTACCTGCAGTAAGGTTTTTTTCATCTAATGCATGTTGTTGGAAGAACAAGAAACAAAAACGGTCATGCAACAAACATGAAAACATGTTTGTTTTTTTCTTTTTGTCTTTTTAGATCTATTTTCTTTTTTTGCGCATAAAAAGTAAAGATGTATAAGTTGTTTTGATATGACTTATGCTAATATTCTATTTTGCAGCAAACCAATCTGCGAAACGAAAAAGAAATTCATTATTATCAATGGGTGCCATTTATTTTGATTTTTCAAGCTCTTCTATTCATGATTCCAAGATTAGTTTGGAAAACGTTCAATAAATATACAGGTTTTTAAATTTATTAATTACTCTCAATTACGTTATATTCAAAACATAAAAAAAATAAGTTTTTTGTAATGCACTACTGAAATAAAAAGTACTTATACGTTTTTAAGGAATGAATATTTTTGCTCTTATTGAGACTGTATCCACGACCAGTAAACAGGGCCAAAAACGTGTTTTAAACAAGGTTTCTTGTTTCTAAAAAACGTTCCTTTTTCTGTATTATGTAAATGCATTTTAGTTTGCTTTTTTTTTACAGGATGCAAATCCAAAACCAATATCTGATCGTCTAGATTTGGCTTTCAATGTGAACAGTATAAGAGCTAGTAATGGCGGCTACATGTGTATGTGCTTAATAAATTACACTGTCTCTACATAACATCAAATTCTTTCGTTTTCTGCTCTCACTGTCAGTGCTAAACAAATGAATAAAATTAGGGAAGAACTAAAAAGAAGCTTTTCGCACTCAACGTTTTAATTCTGTTTCAAGCTCTCTTTTTTGCTTACTTTCACAGCCAAAATAAAGTCATGTGTACTTTGCACTTTTTTATTCTTTATTTGCTTTTATTGCAATTGAAGCCATTTTAGTGAAGTCAATATGGCGCGTCTATGTAACTGACCTGTATATATTCTGTAAGATGCTAAATCTTATCAATATATGTATCCAATTCGCATTTTTAAATTGTTTTCTTGGGCCGCAATACAAATTTTGGGGGTTTGGTATACTTAGTGACCTGTTGAATGGACGGCAGTGGTACGAAAGCGGCCACTTTCCAAGGGTTTACAATTAAATATTTCTCATTGATAAAATTTCTAAAGTTTAATCTTTTATCAGATATCTAGCTTCTTGTTCTTTTTTACGATTATATTTGCCATTAATTCTGTTAAATTAAATTTTAGCTAATATCTCTGTTTATTACAATCGCTTTTGTGATGTTATGCTAAAAAGGAAAACACAAAAAGACGAATAAATAGTTGCAAGTTAAAGATGACCTAAATTATGAATATAAATGACGAATTTTTGTAGTTATAGGTAACATTTTGTGACATCAGTGTCAGAGAGATTGGTAATGTTAACCAAAAAACAGTGCAGTGCGTGTTGATGATCAATATGTTTAATGAGAAGATTTTTCTTGGGATTTGGTTTTGGCTTTTTCTGCTCGGTATTCTTACATCCATTAACCTGCTCTACTGGATTATCACTACAGCAATGCCACAGTATGGAAGAAATTTTGTCAAAAATAGCTTGGTGAGTATTTTTTTGCTTACTTACAACGAAACAGCAGGTTGTATAAAACACCGTATTTTAAAAAATTGGGTTATGGAGTTCTACTGTTTAATAAAATAGTACGCTAATGTTACAGAACTGTTTTTAGACGCTGAAGAGCATAGATTATACAGAAGACAAACTTGAAGAGTTTCTTTGCACAACGCTTTGTAAGGTAAGAAACATATATTCATTCTTGTACCTCAATCTTGGCTACCACAATAAATTTCAAATACTTTTCCTTTCTTTAAAAAAATTTTTCAACAGTCAAGTTAAAATTATTATAAGATACTCTTAAATTTTCTAGAAAACAATTTTTTTATAAGTAATATTTTTCATAAATAAGCGAAAAAATGAGGTGGTTTTTGCTCTCTCTTAGTAATATCGAAACTGTCAAGGCTATATTTACTGTTTCTGTCTATAAACAATCTTGAATACAGGCTCTCTAATTCTCTTCCACTTTATATTTTTTTGATTAAACTTCTAAAACAAGTTTGTTCTGGTAAGTGTTCAAACCTCTTTTGCAGAGTTTAAATTATTTTAAAATTTGATCTTTTTGAACTAGTTTCACTAAGCTGATTTCAGAATGAATTACATAATTTGGTTTACAGATTACTTGGAGCAAAGAAAGAACGATTGGACAAATGTCTTTCATATTACGTAGTGTCCTTGAAGATTTTTTTTAGCAATTTCAGCGCTAACAGTTTCTTTTTAGAAAGTAAATATTAGAAATTCGCTTAGCTATTAAGCACCAAAAGAATGAAGTGTAGATAAGGTGCTTCAAAAAAGACTTGTTACTTCGACAGTCTCTTTTCTTTTTTTTTTTTTTTTTTTTTTTTTTTTTTT